CAAAATGTGGAAAAAGGGCTGTGAACACTTTCTGAAGGCACTGTATTTTGATGAAGCTACAGGGTGGGGGGTAGGTAGAGCATGATCCAATATATTGTTAGTCTGTTTGTTAGGAAAATCACCTCTGGTGAGGGAAATAAACATAGGATGCCAGATGGATGCAAATCACAACAAGGAATACATTTATCAAGGATTTGGTCATTCCTACTATGGGTCATTTATTAATTAATATCTACCATGTTGTTCTCAGATGATGTTAGGCTGAAAACTATTCAGCTACTGTCCATAGTCTCACAAAATATTTTGGAAATATACTGTAGTAAGTGTCATGTCATTTATTCACTTTTGTCTAAACTCTACTGTTAATGAAGCAAGAAACAATCCACAAATTGGTTCGAGAACTACAGTCACACCTCTTAGTTTTATTTTCACTCTGTCATGCAAAAATAATGTCTGTTTTATTATTTCCAAATGAAACAACTTAAATTCACATCAGTGTACTTTTGTACACTCTTGCAGACCACTGTCTCTTGCACGCATACCTACAGCTCCCACTTCCATAATCAGAGCTTTGTGTCTGAAGACAATAGCTTAACCCTAGTGTAACATGGGAATCTCCAACCCGAGCCCAGTGGGGAACATGTTAATTGGGAGTAGTCTCCATAATGGTGATCTTCCCTGTACGTTTGGCCTACTTCCAAACACTCCCTCATTCATCACTGACTACACGCCACTGTAAAATATTTCCCTGCAGAAATCTGTCTTTTGTTCTCTCTACACTCCGTTGTCAGTGTATTCCTGAAGAGAGTGGTTCTCATGGAAGGCCTGATGGAGTTCCATTCTTTTCCCAGAGTGCCTTTCTTCCTCTCAAACGTGAAAAGAGGGAGTGTTTTTCTGGGTGATTGGCATAGACATCATATGATTGTGAGGTAATGCCCTAGCTGGATGACCATTGGCTGAGGCGGAACGGGCTATGCTCGGCCCACAAAGGAACAGGGTACAATCGGCTTAGAGCTCAATCAGATCTGAACCCCGACTGCTGTCTTGTGTGTTCATAAAGGAGGCCATTCATGCAGGCTGACAAATTGCCACTGACGCATGAGACGAAAGGAACCCCCCCGGTCGGGTTTCTGCCTGCTCCCCTGCTCTCTCTCACCCCTGGCCCTTTCCCCCTTCAAGACCCCCCCTCTTACCCCCATCATTGGGGAAACAGGCTGGATTGCACAATCACCATGCCTCCCTCTCAATGGCTGGTCTGTGCCAAGTTTGGCTTTGAAAATCTGTTTCACTCAGTCTCTTTATATTCTGTATGCAAAGGAGTAGGGTGTGAGAGCTAGCATCACATGAGGTTAACTCTATGAATAGAATATTGTGTTTGTCCACAAGGAAATTTGGCTATGCGAAGAGATATTAGACTTTAGATGTACTTTTGATTTACTAAATGCTTGTAGAAGTTGCAATGGCTATCTTGCATTTCACCATGTAAAAACAATAAAACACTTGCCATTCCTGTGAATTTACAACATTTTCCAACCTCCTGTAATGTAAACAAATCATTATACGACCATGCTTCACCTTTCTGTGAGTTAAGGTAAAAAGTGATTAATCAAAGTCCATACTGAATGGAACAAAGCAACACTTAAACAGTGTTGAGCCTTGTTGTAGGCCAACAATACTAGTATCAATTACTTTCTGGTGAAAAAAACACAAAGCTGGGAGCAGGACAGAGTGAACTGGCCATTCAGCAGAACTGTAAGCAGTATTTACAAACCACAGGCATTTCCCACAGGAGGATTGCCAGGCTGGGGAGAGAAAGGTTACTTAGCAGTCAGTCACAGACCAGACCTCTCTTGTCCTTGCTGACAGATTCAGCACCAAGGCTATGCATTGATGACAGAGCTCCTAAAGATGAACCTCAACAGAGAGGTGTGACTATGAAAAGGTCTGACCATCTATCCAGACCATCTCTCACTATCAGTATGTAATACAATACTTTTCATGACTCATAGGATTCAAGGGGTTCGTATTTTAACCATCCCTGCAGCTATACTAGCTGTAATGGGACTCCACAGGCTGACTGTACAGTTAACTGGAAGTGGCTGGTATCTTGTGGTAAAGTCCTCCTGAGTGGCGCAGTGGTCTAAGGCACTGCATCGCAGTGCTAGCTGTGCCACTAGAGATCCTGGTTCGAATCCAGGCTCTGTCATAGGCGACCGGGAGACCCATGGGGTGGCGCACAATTGGCCCAGGGTAGGGGAGGGAATGGCCGGCAGGGATCTAGCTCAGTTGGTAGAGCATGGCATTTGAAACGCCAGGGTTGTGGGTTCGATTCCAGTATAAAAAATAAAAATGTATGCACTAACTGTAAGTTGCTCTGGATAAGAGCGTCTGCTAAATGACTAAAATGTAAAGTCATAGCTGAGTCATTCAACAATGTTACAACTTGCAACATTGATTTGAGACATCATTTATTGTCTACAATCACAAAGTACTTGTTGCTGGAATAGACCCACTGGTATTTAGGCTATTTTGTACTTTAAATGGCACCCTGTTAGGTTTTAGTCGCTGCATGCAAAGTAAGTCCTTTTAAAATGAGATCAGGCCCCAATTTCAGATTCTCTTATATTGAAATCAAGTGAAAGAGAGGAGGGTAAGCGAGGACAGGTCACTGATAAGCACTAGTCTTCACCAAGATGGCTTATGGCTTGTCTCTTCATTAGACTGAGGGTGTGAAATATTGACCTGGGGTATGAGACCCGTTCACACGCCACCTCCACATAATAACCATGCACACTACAACCACTCACTGCAATGGTTACTAGACATCCAGTGGCAGTTTTAATGCCTGAACAAGTTAATTACTGGCTACTACGCCTCCTCCACAACCCTGGAGCGTCTTGGAGACACAGCCAAGATAAACGGGACAGCAAAACAATACACAGCTGGCTCTAACACATAACACTTCAGTTGCCATGGCCATAGATGGAAAGACTGTGGGCAGGGTGAGGTAATCTAATTGAAACTATTTTAAAACCCACCTGTTCAGTCTGGCTTTCTCCTCCGTTTAGCTCCCCCCTCACTCAGCCCTAGCTAAGCTAAGTAGCTTTTTATTCAATTGATTGTCTTATTCTATAATCTTTGCTGTTGTGTCCTTGTTTTGTTTTTTTGAAAGGCACTTAAAGTATCATTATTATTATTATTATTAGAGACGAGGATGTTTGGATGTTAAATCGTTTTTAATAATCCATAGGGACTCCTCAATAACTGAACAGATGCTCTAGGTGATTAAGACTGGGTATGACATCCTTACCTAACATTGTGTCATTGCTCTCCGTGTTGAATAAAAGCCTCTAAAGTAACAGTCTCCCTGATCAAAGTGGCACAGTGTAATCTGTATTGAGTGTGTTCTGTGCTCTGCTTCCATCCCCTGAAATTAACAGTCATATTCCAAAGGTTCCAGTTCCTCAGGGGCCTGCCCAGGTACACGATCTTGACAGTAATCCACAGATTAAATGTTCTGCGGCATAAGCCCAGCCAGCAGAAATAAAAGCGCTGTGAGGAGTGGCGACTGATGACAGTCTGCTTGACCATAATGAGGCCTGGTAATTAGCATAGACTTGACCTGCTGGGGTCCCTCACGTTGACCTCACAACTACAGCTATTAAGGTTTTCAGGAAGCAAAGAGCACTCTACAAGGCCTAAGCACACGTGACAGCATTAACCATGCCTTATTACCTTCTTAATTGGCTACAGGTACAGAACAGAATCCAATTCAGATAGAGAAACATGGACCTATAGAACTTGTGTTCTGTTGAGGGTTTGTACATTTTATAGAATAGACTATTTACATGACATCACTGAAAAGATGTAAAGCAAGGTAGGCTGTTGAGTTCCTCATATCTCTGTAAGGCAATATGAAGGTCAGAGAGGCATATAATGGCATTAAGTCCACCAAGGCTTAAGAACTCAGCCTGTCGCTATTGTCTGTGTGGATTCTTGGTTTGAAATGTAGAGGCTTGGAGGCTTTCTGAGAAAGCGTGCCTCCCTTCTCATAAGTTGCCTAGAATGCTGCTGACAGTTGAAGGGCTCAGCCATATCCCCATCTCACCTCAGTTCCACCCTACCCATAGCCTTTTTCAGAAGGTGTATAAGAACTGGTATTGTTGCCTCTCTTTCAGTGTGGAGGAGGCCAGTCCAGGCATTCACTACTACTGCCCACCGTAGGAGGGCCCTCAGTCACTGTCTCCTGCTAGATTTATATTGTTGTTTAAAGCCTGGCCTGAACTCAGGACAACCCTGGGTGGCTAGCGGGGGAGTGAAGACTGAAGAGCAAGAGACCTATTATTCTACTCTCAAATGGAGTCACAACGACGGGGAAAATATTGACCTCTCTCTCTCTTTCTCGCGCCATCAGTGGCTGGTTCTTTGAGAGGAACCAGCCTGTCTGATTGGCAGCCCAGTGATTCACGCTCATTAGTGGATCTCACAGTCATTAATGAGGCCTGCCAGAGTTCTGCTGCAGTTACCCCGGAGTCGTATTTATCACCATGTCAACCGCTAACTTCATTTCCACAGTCCCTTCCACCGGGTATTGTGGCTCCTCCAGACTCTCTGCCCCTGAATGCTAATGACTAAACTCAGTCGAGGGCATATGAGTGCAAAGATTTTGTCCCCAATTCCAAAAGGCAAGGGCAGATAGTCATCCTGGAGTAGATTGTGTGTGGAGAGGGAGAGGGGGGGAAGAGAAGAGAGAAGAGGAGGGAGGAGAGGGAAGAGGAGTGGTTTGGTCTAGAGAGGCGTTTCCCAGCTTCTCATTTTCTCCAGCAAGGTCATGCGTTAACCTCTCTCACAGTACAGCTATAGAGGGGGAGAAGAACTGCAGCATTACAGCTGAGAAAACAATTTCTGAACTAGGGCCCCTTTGATCCAGAGCGTTTGATCTCAGTAACATGAGAAACTGATAGTGTCTCAGATAAATAACATCACAACAACTTACAAATGCAGAGTAAATTGTTGTGCCATCTTTTATTTGTTAAAAAAATAAACAAGCTGTGCATTGAAATAAAAAAGCATCTTTCTCATGAATGCCCTCACTTTCTATGCAACAGTTTCATTTAGAGCTAATTTGCTTTGTACTGCAAGCAAGGCAATTCACAATTTAGAGTTTATTCAATAACTGCCAGATATTTTCAAAGCAATAAACATACAATGTGCATAGCAGTTAGTTATATATATCCCTTTGATTTCCACATTTCACAGAGAGATCAATACAAAGTACAAAAGTTTGTCAAAATATCTGGCCTTTTGCAATTATATAATCATCAACATTTCAAGGTATCGTATACATATTTCGACCTCAGAGTTGCTTCAATTGTAATCATTAAATTGAAAGTATTTTAAAAAATACATTTACATTTCATGGTCATGTGAAAACATAAGAAATATCCCTACAACATGAATAAAATCCCTGAATTTTCAGATTAACTCACACAAAAAAAATGCCCCTTGTTTTAGTATCCCTTTTCAATACATTTGGAATAGGAGGCATGGTCCAAGAACTGCACCGCACAGACCTGAGTCAGCTTGCAGGCCCCATCACACACAATGGTATCATCATAGCTCACCATAAAATGGCTAAAATACTTCTGAAATGCTTTGCTTTGCTGCATTTCAAAACTCAAGACAAGTTTAAACAGGCTGTGTGGTTGAATGTCCTTTAATCCAAACGCTTCAGTCATTACATATTCAAGTTTCCAGTCAGATCTTTTTTCTTGGTTGGCTTCGGTGAGATTCAAGTAGTACTGCCAAATATCCTTCAGAGAGAGATAGACTATTTCAAAACCATGTTAAACCCACGCTCAGAGAGTACCTTGATTAGAAGTAGTGATGTGTGACAGCACCATTAATCATTAAGGAACATCATTGCTGTGGGTCTAGGGTCTGGTTAAGCGGTTGAGAGTTAACTTACCTTAATGACGTTGACCTGAATGCTCCCCATTTTAACAAGTGTAGTCAAGATGTTTCTGACTCTTTCTTATTTTCCGCCTGGCCTTTTCTTAACAGATTACCCCAGGAAGTAGAGCTACTAGAGATTTTCAAGGGCTAAGCCCTCCCCAATGTTGACTGTGGAACTTACTGCGGTGCTAACATGTTCCAGCTCCCGTCTAAGGGGGATGCTGAAATCACCTGTAAGCTACTCTGAGCTCTATGCTGTATGAGCGTGAATCACATTGGGATTTCTGTACTTTGACAAACCAAGACAAGGACATATCAGTGTGGACCTTAATAATAAGAGGGAAAGTGAAAATGCAGAACTGAATTAGCCTCTGCATGGGAATGACAAAAATTGTTCTGGCTACCTACATCACCTTGAGAGTGTTAATAAGGTTAGACATGAGGATGATAATACATTATGAATGGATCATTCCAAACATATTCAAATGAAAGGGAATTGTCCAAAACCCCTGGATAATGGTGGTTGTACTTACCAGCAGCCCGTAGTCCTGTGGGTCATAGTGGTACATGCGGAAGGCTGGGTTGTTGGAGTACGCCTCTTCTGCACTCTTGATTGGAGTAACAGCCGGTGTGACAAACAGGGAATTAACCGGTTCCCCTTCAAAGCAAACAAATGAGGATGATTTGTGTCAATAAATACATGGCTAAAAGCATTCCGTCCTCAGTTCCTCCTCCATTGCATTAAGCTAGTTAGACAAACATTGTGGGGATTCTAGCCAACACTGACAGTCATTGTAACACTGAACCCACAGGAGATGAAAGGTGGATTTGGATTGTCTGAGTAACTTGAGGTGGAGTTTAACATGATCTAAATGTGTCATTATAGCTGGAAAGGTACAAAAGGTCACTCAGTGTATGATGCCTCGTTCACACGGTGATATGTTTGCCTGGCTACCAATTCACATTGCTCCGGCCAAACGCCACGCCCACTAACGTTTCTTCTCCACGATTATTCTGGATTTGTTCTCCTCCCTGACGACTTCTCGAATGCGATCACATTCAAGCCGATCGGATTGGTCCCAGAAACAAATGGGTTGGGCCCAGGGCCGTAGCCAGGGTCTGAGTTATAGTGAGGTCTAAAATGCTATTTGGAGAATAGCAAAAACAAGTAAAAATTACCCCAGCCATTATCCCATTAGATGCTATAGCTTTATTCACCTCAGTCAATCTACAAACACATAGCCTATAAGCAATAAAATTAGCCACTACACATTAACACAGAACCAGGATTAAAACCTATCATTTAAAACGTACAGAGGGATCTGTTAGCAGAATAAGTATTTTATTAACAAAAGGTAAACAAATACATTTGTTTACATAACTTTTTTGTTGTTGCAGTTTTACAGCCAATTTCCTGAAATTCTACACATTTTGCCATGGGGTAGGGAGACATTTTTGCAGTTTTAAAAGCTAATTTCCTTCAATTCTACACATTTTGCAATGACTTATGCCATGTTAATGTGATATATCTGAGTGAGAGTGACTAACAAAATCAATGGGGGCCCCCTGGAGGCAAGGTAATTGGACGTAACTTAGCCATGAATACTTCAAGTTTAGATCGCTGGCTAGACTAATTTACCAATCTAAAAAATTTTAACTGACAAGGGCTAATTGAGTGACTGTCAGTGAGTGACATAACAAGAGGAAAACTGCTGATGCACAACAAAGTTTTGAAATTGCACCTTATGTATTCTACCATTTTAACTCTCAAGTGTTTATTTTATTTTATTTTGATTGGTTAAAGACAATCCAATCGCTGATCACTTGTTTTGTAAAACGCCCCTCAATTTGATGTCAGTAGAAAGGACTTCTACGATGGCAGTCTCAGACTGAATGTATGTTGTGATAGATAGAGCAGTGGAATTAAATTCAGTATGAGTCGTCAGAAAACTGATTTGTAGGATGGAGATTTAATCATTTGATCTCAGATAAAAAATTATGTTCAAACCTCGTCCTGACCCAGTCAGTTATCCCTTGATGACAGTAACGCATAGCTTTGACACTAGCCAGTGACTCACCTTGCTGGTCCTGCAAGACCATTATGCTGTCTCTGTGAGTGTGGCCATAGAAATGCCCTGAGATGATGTCACTGTAGTCACGAAAGATCTTCACAAGTCTCTCATTGTAGGCTTCTCTGACGGCTGTGGTATTCCTGGCAAAGGGCAAGTAACCCACTGGAACATGAGCAATGACAATGACCTACAGAGGGATGACAGGAGGAACAGCATGTTAAGGCACAATAAGAGAATAATATTGCTTTTAAAAAGATATAATCAGTCTTCCATGTTATATGCTGTATAGTATCCTGTATTCCGTATAAGGGTGCTTAGGATCCATGCAGGCCTATTCAGAAGCCATCCTCACCTGGATAGACAGAGAGATATTCCTTCTACAGAGTAATGTGGCCATGACCTATTTACCTTCTCCATGCTCTGAGCAGATGTTTCCAGGGTGTCCTGCAGCCACTGGAACTGTCCTGCCGGGTCACTCATATTCACTGTCACTTTATTGGGGCTATAGTATAGGATAGTGTTCAGGCTTATCAGTCGTAGCTTGGGCTGCACCAACTGAGAGTAAAATCCACCTTTACAAAAGACACAAAATTCAGGGTCAAGTAAGGTTATTGTGTGTTGTGTCAAGGTATTTTGAGTTCTGCAAAGGTTATCAATATGTAATGTTTATGTACATTAAAAACAATGCAATTGCAGAGTAATACCAGGTACCAAGAGGCCTGATCAGCAGGCCTAAAACTAGTTCTCATGTTCTAAACACAAGCAGCTTACCTTCTCTGAGAGTTACAAGTGCTTCTGGCTTTAACCAAGGCTCCCACAGTTTGGCTGCAGCCTGGTAAATATCATTAGTGGCGGTCGGAAGTTGATCCTGAAAAGAATGTTCACTGTATTATGGAAATACAGTAGGCATATAGACTGACAAAAATGAAACAGAAACATTCTTATGAGAGAAAATGACAAACCGCTGCTGCTCATCTTTCATTTATGCTAAAAATTCATTTATTTCAAGGAAACATTCATCTTTCAGATGTACAGACTCAATCTCTGGTTTGACCCAGAGTCTCTCTCCCTGATGACTATGCATCACGGGTCTTCTCCACCCCATCACCTCCCCATAGATGGAATAGATCAAATACCTGTGGCCAGTAGTCATGATTCCCGAGAGCGGGGTACACTAGCATGTCTGGAAAGAACTCCCTGATGGTTTGAGTCATGTTGCTGATGACTTGGATCACCACGTCCGTGGACAGCTCCCCTGCAGGGACATGTGGAGGGCTGTCTCTGGGGAGGAGAGCAAGAGAGAAAGAGAGGAATAAGCCTGTTCTAATAACTTATTACAACCCAGGACTGAATTAATCAAATAAAACAAAGATCTGCTCATGTATTACCCCTAAATCCCTGTAATCCAGGGGTTGGCTTTTTAAAAACATTTTAATATAGGTGCAGTGGCCTTTCACAAAAGCATATTAATTCTGCTTAACACGCATTATACATGCCAATAAAATGTCAGGCTTAACTGATTAACTGGAGATGTATGAGTTGAACTGACATATCACCATGCACATGCAGTACATATCCCTTCATGTGATGTATGATTCATATTTTCAGGCATAAGCTTAGCATTTAGTCCATGTTTAATAGCCTTTACTATGCATTGCTCTTCACTCTAATCATACTGTATGCACACCTATCTGATGCTGTTGCACGTTGGCATAATGACTTTATACCACTTTATTTTCATATCAGCAGAAGGTCTTGTATGGATGATTTATGGTTTATTTGGCTGCATGTGCAAATTACTTATTTTATTTTGGATTGAGACGCAGCCTAGAGCTGATTCAAGACCAGTGGCATAGCACAAGGTCCAAGCATTCGTTATACATTTTGCCATGAGGCTGAGAAAAAATGGTGCTGTTTTAGAACTAACTTGTGCTATTCAACACATTTTCCCATGAGGTTGAGATAAAAAAAAAAAAATGTTTTAAAGCTAATTTCCTGTAATTCCCCCCCCCAAAATCATGGCTTATGACGTGTTCATATGCAATCGTGGGCTCTCCTTGCGTAGGCTGCGGCAGTGTGTGCTACGCCAGTGTTCAAGACGATACACTATACAAGGGCTGCCCAATTCCGGTCCTGGAGGGCTGAAAAGCTTCTGGTTTTAGTTTCTACCTGGTAGTTAATTGCACTCCCATGGTGTCCCTGGTTTGAATTAGTCCCTGATTAGAAGGAGAGGCCCTCCAGGACCGGAATTGGGCAGCCCTGCTATACAGACATCGATTACGCTTCACTGAACTCCAACAGATCACTGATTTGTTGCTTATTTTACAACAATTCCATCTGTGACAAGATCATTTTTAGTTATCCAATGAAAGGAAAGAGGAAGCATTATACTATTGTTCGTTTTTTTAACCCTCTCAAACTGTACTTCTCCAATTTTGTTGTATATGAAACAGGGATACAAATTCGCAGGCACACTACATATTGTTCTTCATAACATATAATGCTACAAACCCTGTCCAAATCATAAACTCTGGCTGTGGGGCCACTTGTTTCATGTGCTGGAAAGCTGACAGGATGAGCTGGTAGGGAGAGTCACACATGAAATCTCCAAACAGACCAGGGTTTAAGGCTGGGACACCCTTAGAGGAGAAACACACTTTGGTATGGTCATCAGTCACATGGTACGTGGGGTCCAAATGCAGGTCAGAGATGTGCCAGAATCTCCCTGAAATTGAAATATTATTGGGCATATTATCAATCGACTTTATAACATGTAGGGGATGATGTACATCAAGCTAGTCACATCAAATGACCAGGACTTATTAACTATAGGTAACTATATATATTTTTTTGTTGCAACTTAATATGTAATTGCAGGAGGTTAGGTTATACAACTTTTCTGAAGTAAAACCTGGTTTAGATGTTAAACACATATAATAGAATGGAACATAATAAATTAGAAACGGCAAATACCAGCATGCGCTTTCATTTTCTAAGCAACATGATTTTGACAGCTCAGCAATCTGCTTCAAAAATAATTAATGGGTGCAATGAATGCATATAAACAACTTACCTATGCTTGGCAGGTGAACGCTATTTACAGGTGCAAGAGGCGCAGCGTAAATCAGTAGCACATTGAAGAGCTGCCCAACTAGAAGATGGGACACGACGCCCATATTGTCACATTAAACAAAAAAACTGTGAGAGAAAATGCAATAGTTTGGTTATGTCATTGAGGTTTTCTCAACTGATACACACAGGAAGTACGGCGGTCATGTGACTGCTTTGTCCGGGTCAGAAACAATAAGTAGGGTCACGTGATAAATTCCAAAGCGAGTCAAGAGAACACATAGGGGGGAATTCCGTCCCGAGTTAAACGCGCATAAATGGAACTTAATTCCCTTTTTATGCACTTTTCTCTCTACTTGTATTATGACCATGAATTTTAACATGAGAATAGCATGCCATTCACCCGCTATTCGTTGCGGGTGGAGATCAAAGACATTAAGGTGTGGCAGAGGTGTCTACAGATATGCTGTATTCTGACCTGATTTAATTCTCTCATAATTCCACCATCTTTTTGTGAGATGAAACGTTCAATATGGTCTAGCAACCTGTTGGTTAGAAGTGGACCAACATCTACTTTATTTTTTTCCAATTGAAATAACACCATTCTCTATGCACTGTAATTTACAAATTGATAAGAGCTATTGATAGAGCTGGGTAAATGAGTAAACCTTTGGATAAGGGGATTGTAAATATAAATGAAAATTGTTAGATCTAAATTACCTTATGATCACTGGTGACAAATGTGAAACCAGATGAATGCCAGCAAACTGAAGCATATCAACATAACCTATCACCTTTTCCACAGTGTAGCTATAGGCTTCTGTAGCCATGCGCAAATGACAGTATAGCCCAAACCTACCAAGCTGATTTATTTATTGAATGTTTTAATTATATGCCAGGACTTTTCACTGTATTTCTTACCGTTTGTATCTTGTTAAATATTAGCCACTATCGGTAGCCACCGTCAGTTATACCTACATACATTAATAACTGTCACTGACTTTAGTGCTAGTTTCCTTATATTTTGCATCATTACATTACATCGTTGGTTTCCCTTTCTTTCCTCTGTAACGTTCATGTGGTTGTTCCTGAGGATCGCTAGCAATAGTGGATCATATTAGGCTAACGTATTACAAGTTGTGCAATAATTTGGACATGTAGACTATTTGAACATTATGGAATGCAGACCATATGTGGCAGTTTAAACCTGGTGCACGGTTCATGACAACTAGCAGCATATGTGAAGTGTGAAAGTGTGTCAATGTGTGAGTGTGTGTGTGTGGCGTCAATATGCATGTATGTGTGTGTGTGTGTGTGTGTGTTGGAGTGTCATTGTAGTATGTGTGAGTGTGTGGGTAGAGTCTAGTGAGTGTGCATAGAGCCAGCGCAAGAGAGTCAGTGCAAAACAAATAAGATAAATAAATCAATAATATAGGGGGTCAATGTAAACAGTCCTGGTAGCCATGAACTGTTCAGCATTCTTATGGCGTATATATATACAGTACCAGTCAAAAGTTTGGACACACCTACTCATTCAAGGGTTTTTGTAGAACAATAGTAGAAAATAGTAAAAATAAAGAAAAACCCTTGAATGAGTAGGTGTGTCCAAACTTTTGACTGATACTGTATACAGTCAAAAGTTTGGACACACCTACTCATTCAAGGGTTTTTCTTTATTTTTTGTATTTTCTACATTGTAGAAATTAGGTAGTCACCTGGAATGCATTTCAATTAACAGGTGTGCCTTTCCTCTTTGAGCCAATCAGTTGTGTTGTGACAAAGTAGGGGTGGTATACAGAAGATAGTACTATTTGGTAAAAGTCCAAGTCCATATTATGAAAATCACAGCTCAAATAAGCAAAGAGAAATGACAGTCCATCATTACTTTAATACATGAAGGTCAGTCAATACGGAAAAGTTCAAGAATTTGGAAAGTTTCTTCAAGTGCAGTCACAAAAACCATCAAGCGCTATGATGAAACTAGCTCTCAAGAGGACCGCCACAGGAAAGGAAGACCCAGAGTTACCTCTGCTGCAGAGGATAAGTTCATTAGAGTTAACTGAACCTCAGAATGCAGCCCAAATAAATGCTTCAGAGAGTTCAAGTAACAGACACATCTCAACATCAGCTGTTCAGATGAGACTACATGAATCAGGCCTTCATGGTTGAATTGCTACAAAGAAACCACTACTAAAGGACACCAATAAGAAGAAGAGACTTGCTTGGGCCAAGAAACACGAGCAATGGATATTAGACCGGTGAAAATCTGTCCTTTGGTCTGATGAGTCCAAATTTGAGATTTTTGGTTCCAACCGCCGTGTCTTTGTGAGATGCAGAGTAGGTGAAAGGATGATCTCTGCATGTGTGGTTCACACCGTGAAGCATGAAGGAGGAGGTGTGAGTATGATGGTGTGGGGGTGCTTTGCTGGTGACACTGTCATTGATTTACTTAGAATTCAAGGCACACATAACCAGCATGGCTACCACAGCATTCTGCAGCGATACACCAGTCCCACTGGTTTGCGCTTAGTGGGACAATAATTTGTTTTTCAACAGGACAACACACCTCCAGGCTGTGTAAGGGCTATTTGACCAAGAAGGAGAGTGATGAAGTGCTGCATCAGATGACCTGGCCTCCACAATCACCCAACCTCAACCCAATTGAGATGGTTTGGAATGAGTTGGACCGCAGAGTGAAGGAAAAGCAACCAACAAGTGCTCAGCATATGTGGGAACTCCTTCAAGACTGTTGGAAAAGCATTCTTCATGAAGCTGGTTGAGAGAATGCCAAGAGTGTGCAAAGCTGTCATCAAGGCAAAGGGTGGCTACTTTGAAGAATCTAAAATCTAAAATATATTTTGATTTGTTTAACACTTTTTTGGTTACTACTACTATATGTGTTTTTTCATAGTTTTGATGTCTTCACTATTATTCTACAATGTAGAAAATAGTAAAAATAAAGAAAAACCCTTGAATGAGTAGGTGTGTCCAAACCTTTGACTGTTACTATATACAGTGGGGAGAACAAGTATTTGATACACTGCCGATTTTGCAGGTTTTCCTACTTACAAAGCATGTAGAGGTCTGTAATTTTTATCATAGGTACACTTCAACTGTGAGAGACGGAATCTAAAACAAATATCCAGAAAATCACATTGTATGATTTTTAAGTAATTAATTTGCATTTTATTGCATGACATAAGTATTTGATACATCAGAAAAGCAGAACTGAATATTTGGTACAGAAACCTTTGTTTGCAATTACAGAGATCATACGTTTCCTGTAGGTCTTGACCAGGTTTGCACACACTGCAGCAGGGATTTTGGCCCACTCCTCCATACAGACCTTCTCCAGATCCTTCAGGTTTCGGGGCTGTCGCTGGGCAATACGGACTTTCAGCTCCCTCCAAAGATTTTCTATTCGGTTCAGGTCTGGAGACTGGCTAGGCCACTCCAGGACGTTGAGATGCTTCTTACGGAGCCACTCCTTAGTTGCCCTGGCTGTGTGTTTCGGGTCGTTGTCATGCTGGAAGACCCAGCCACGACCCATCTTCAATGCTCTTACTGAGGGAAGGAGGTTGTTGGCCAAGATCTCGCGATACATGGCCCAATCCATCCTCCCCTCAATACGGTGCAGTCGTCCTGTCCCCTTTGCAGAAAAGCATCCCCAAACAATGATGTTTCCACCTCCATGCTTCACGGTTGGGATGGTGTTCTTGGGGTTGTACTCATCCTTCTTCTTCCTCCAAACACGGCGAGTGGAGTTTAGACCAAAAAGCTATATTTTTGTCTCATCAGACCACATGACCTTCTCCCATTCCTCCTCTGGATCATCCAGATGGTCATTGGCAAACTTCAGACGGGCCTGGACATGCGCTGGTTTGAGCAGGGGGACCTTGCGTGCGCTGCAGGATTTTAATCCATGACGGCATAGTGTGTAACTAATGGTTTTCTTTGAGACTGTGGTCCCAGCTCTCTTCAGGTCATTGACCAGGTCCTGCCGTGTAGTTCTGGGCTGATCCCCCACCTTCCTCATGATCATTGATGCCCCACGAGGTGAGATCTTGCATTGAGCCCCAGACCGAGGGTGATTGACCGTCATCTTGAACTTCTTCCATTTTCTAATAATTGCGCCAACAGTTGTTGCCTTCTCACCAAGCTGCTTGCCTATTGTCCTGTAGCCCATCCCAGCCTTATGCAGAGCTACAATTTTATCCCTGATGTCCTTACACAGCTCTCTGGTCTTGGCCATTGTGGAGAGGTTGGAGTCTGTTTGATTGAGTGTGTGGACAGGTGTCTTTTATACAGGTAACGAGTTCAAACAGGTGCAGTTAATACAGGTAATGAGTGGAGAACAGGAGGGCTTCTTAAAGAAAAACTAACAGGTCTGTGAGAGCTGGAATTCTTACTGGTTGGTAGGTGATCAAATACTTATGTCATGCAATAAAATGCAAATTAATTACTGAAAAATCATACAATGTGATTTTCTGGATTTTTGTTTTAGATTCCGTCTCTCACAGTTGAAGTGTACCTATGATAAAAATTACAGACCTCTACATGCTTTGTAAGTAGGAAAATCGGCAGTGTATCAAATACTTGTTCTCCCCACTGTATATATATATATATATATATATATGTGTGTGTGTGTGTGTGTGACAGGAGTGGGTCGCAGTTCCGGAGCGACCCACTAGGTGTCATCCTCTGACAACCATAGGTACTTCCTCAATCACAGTCGGGACTAATTACTGTGGGGGAAAAAATTATTTAGTCAGCCACCAATTGTGCAAGTTCTCCCACTTAAAAAGATGAGAGAGGCCTGTAATTTTCATCATTGGTACACGTCAACTATGACAGCCAAATTGAGAATATTTTTTCCAGAAAATCACATTGTAGGATTTTTTATGAATTGATTTGCAAATTATGGTGGAAAATAAGTATTTGGTCACCTACAAACAAGCAAGATTTCTGGCTCTCACAGACCTGTAACTTCTTCTTTAAGAGGCTCCTCTGTCCTCCACCCATTCATTCTGTCCTTTACACGGATCAGTCGTCCTGGTCCCTTTGCAGAAAAACAGCCCCAAAGCATGATGTTTCCACCCCCATGCTTCACAGTTGGTATGGTGTTCTTTGGATGCTACTCAGCATTCTTTGTTCTCCAAACACGACGAGTTGAGTTTTTACCAAAAAGTTTTATTTTGGTTTCATCTGACCATATGACATTCTCCCAATCCTCTTCTGGATCATCCAAATGCACTCTAGCAAACTTCAGACGGGCCTGGACATGTACTGGCTTAAGCAGGGGGACACGTCTGGCACTGCAGGATTTGAGTCCCTGGCGGCGTAGTGTGTTACTGATGGTAGGCTTTGTTACTTTGGTTCCAGCTCTCTGCAGGTCATTCACTAGGTCCCCCCGTGTGGTTCTGGGATTTTTGCTCACCGTTCTTGTGATCATTTTGACCCCACGGGGTGAGATCTTGCGTGGAGCCCCAGATCGAGGGAGATTATCAGTGGTCTTGTATGTCTTCCATTTCCTAATAATTGCTCCCACAGTTGATTTCTTCAAACCAAGCTGCTTACCTATTGCAGATTCAGTCTTCCCAGCCTGGTGCAGGTCTACAATTTTGTTTCTGGTGTCCTTTGACAGCTCTTTGGTCTTGGCCATAGTGGAGTTTGGAGTGTGACTGTTTGAGGTTGTGGACAGATGTCTTTTATACTGATAACAAGTTCAAACAGGTGCCATTAATACAGGTAACGAGTGGAGGACAGAGGAGCCTCTTAAAGAAGAAGTTACAGGTCTGTGAGAGCCAGAAATCTTGCTTGTTTGTAGGTGACCAAATACTTATTTTCCACCATAATTTGCAAATAAATTCATTAAAAATCCTACAATGTGATTTTCTGGAAAAGAAATTCTCAATTTATCTGTCATAGATGACGTGTACCTATGATGAAAATTACAGGCCTCTCTCATCTTTTTAAGTGGGAGAACTTGCACAATTGGTGGCTGACTAAATACTTTTTTCCCCCACTGTATATATACACTACCATTCAAAAGTTTGGGGTCACTTAGAAATCTCCTTGTTTTCCATGAAAACATACATGAAATAAGTTTGAATAGGAAATATAGCAAATGAATAGGAAATGTAGTCATTGACAAGGTTAGAAATATTGATTTTTAATATAAATAATAATTGTGTCCTTCAAACTTTGCTTTCGTCAAATAATCCTCCATTTGCAGCAATTACAGCCTTGCAGACCTTTGGCATTCTAGTTGTCAATTTGTTGAGGTAATCTGAATAGATTTCACCCCATGCTTCCTGAAGCACCTCCCACAAGTTGGATTGGCTTGATGGGCACTTCTTACATACCATACGGTCAAGCTGCTCCCACCACATCTCAATAGGGTTGAGATCCGGTGACTGTGCTGGCCACTCCATTATAGATAGAATACCAGCTGACTGCTTCTTCCCTAAATAGTTATTGCATAGTTTGGAGCTGTGCTTTGGGTCATTGTCCTGTTTTAGGAGGAAATTGGCTCCAATCAAGCGCCGTCCACACGGTACGGCACCCCCAGACCATCACATTGCCTCCACCGTGCTTGACAGATGGCATCAAGCACTCCTCCAGCATCTTTTCATTTGATCTGCGTCTCACAAATGTTCTTTGTGATCCGAACACCTCAAACCTCGATTTGTCTGTCATAACACTTTTTTTCCAATCTTCCTCTGTCCAGTGTCTGTGTTCTTTTGCCCCTCTTAATCTTTTCTTTTTATTGGCCAGTCTGAGATATGGCTTTTTATTTGTAACTCTGCCTAGAAGGTCAGCATCCCGGAGTCGCCTCTTCACTGTTGATGTTGAGACTGGTGTTTTGCGGCTACTATTTAATGAAGCTGCCAGTTGAGGACCTGTGAGGCGCCTTTTTCTCAAACTAGAAACTCTAATGTATTTGTCCTCTTGCTCAGTTGTGCACCGGGGCCTCCCACTCCTCTTTCTATTCTGGTTAGAGACAGTTTGCGCTGTTCTGTGAAGGGAGTAGTACACAGCATTGTACGAGATCTTCAGTTTCTTGGCAATTTCTCGCATGTAATAGCCTTCATTTCTCAGAACAAGAATAGACTGACGAGTTTCAGAAAGTTATTTGTTTTTGGCCATTTTGAGCCTGTAATCGAACCCACAATTGCTGATGCTCCAGATACTAAACTAGTCTCAAGCAGGCCAGTTTTATTGCTTCTTTAATCAGCACAACAGTTTTCAGCTGTGCTAACATAATTGCAAAAGGGTTTTCTAATGATCAATTAGCCTTTTAAAATGATAAACTTGGATTAGCAAACACAACGTGCCATTGGCACACAGGACTGATGGTTGCTGATAATGGGCCTCTGTACGCCTATGTAGATATTCCATAAATAATCTGCTGTTTCCAGCAACAATAGCCATTTACAACATTAACAATGTCTACACTGTATTTCTGATCAATTTGATGTTATTTTAATGGACCAAAAAAAATGCTTTTCTGTCGAAAAACAAGGACATTTCTAAGTGACTCCAAAACTTTTGAAAAGTTGTGTGTATATATAGTGCATAAAGGCTCTCCAAACCTGTTTTTGTTTTATTTTTTCCTAAATACTTTCCTGATCCTAAATAATATACAAGGTCAGAGTATTTTCTTATCTACCAGTTGGTGCTGAAAAGGAGATATGTGTGTATTTGCGGCTTTCTTTCATTGATCCCTAATATTCTAAACATTCGCTCCATATATTCTTGCGAGTGTGTAAAAAAAATCTAATTAAATGTACAGGAAATGTAAAGGTATGGTTTTAAATAAATGTACTGAAAATGCTATTGAATGAAAACACCATGAGAAAATATGTTGGCCAGCAAGTGGGTTGAATTACATTTATCCAGCGCATGCAATGGAACCACAGATGCAGAGCCAGTTAAGCACCTGCATAAGAAGTGCATAGGAAAAGCATAAGTAGGAAAGGCATACATTTTCTGTCTGAATTGGGCCCATAGAGAGCAATAGCATTAGAGTATTTTTGCGGGCACTAACTCCATGGCTCTTTGGCCAAAGCCTATGGGGGAATGAATTGAGTTTTTGTAGGGTTTTTGTATAAACACAGAAAATTAAGTCTGCGGTAAACAAAAGCTTAGCCTGGGGATCTTCTAAGTTTTGTTCTATGAGTTCATCTTCATCAGCTGAATGTTGAGGCATTTATGTAATAAAAAAAGCACACAAAGCACATAAAGGCTTCATAATTTATAATGGTCATGTTAACTGACTGATATTATTTCAGAGAAGAAAACGTATAAGATCTCCTAAACAAACCTGTGTTAACCTTATTTATCGCAAAACCGTATTCTTTCACCATTTATTTTCCCCATAGGAATGTAATGACGAAACAGAAGTAAATCGTTTACGGTTTTTAGGACTACAGGCTGGCGAGCTCTATTAAGTTCACCCTGCGCAGATCTACAAAATAATATTTGGCACACGCAGACACAGCCGCACAGACAAATGCCCCTTCGCAACACTGTTACAACATGGACTTCCAAGGGATGGGAGCTTGAGTTCTGCTGATAAATTGTATCGAATAGTCATAACATGAATACATTGTGGCAGACACCTGTTACTTTGGCTGAACATTGATGTTTCAATCTCGATGCAAGTTTGTAACACCATTATAGTGGATTGATTAGGTCATATTTTCTCAATGTAACATGTTACATAACACTTACTAACACTAAATGTGTGAACTAATGTATCTCCTATTATTGTGCAGTAGGACTGCAGATAGGTAGCCTACAAAAGCCTAAAAATGACAGTATCTAGTGGTTTAAGGATTTACTCTCTGTGAGATATATACTAACCCAGCCTAGGCATACCCAATCCTTGATTGAGTGAATATGTTGACTTTGAGGAAATTGCACAATCAATGGGTATCAAACAGTCATTTACATAATAGAGTAAAAACATATTTTTGTTTTTGAGTGCATGTTTTTTTATTTGAGTTTGTTTCACACAGGTTTACAACAGATGAGCTATCACGAAAGAAATGTATATAAAAATGTCTTACAAAAAAGACTTCCAGCCCATGTTGTAAAACATTTGGAAGGATGAAGTGCAAAGGTCAGCATACAGTAAAAAAAAAAAAACACTTATTGGCTGTAGTCCAGTAAAATGGACTCAAATGATTTAACTAGTGATGTCTCCCAGCTCATGCCTTCTCATAGGTACGCACTGCCACAATGTCTTCAAATGTGAGAGTCTGTGAATGAGACAAAATAACAAATAAATCACTGTGCAATGAGGACATCAAACATGAAATACAGTATAAATAACAGTCATAATCATTAAAAGTAAGATATTGCTTGTTGGACTCTTAAAATAAGAGTCCAGTTCCTATATCTCATCAGGTCAGACCGGAACATATAATTGCATAATATGGACTATTAGAGGTCACTCCTACAATTTGTGGGAAATGTAAAACTAGAGTCATAATGTTAAACTGATGAGGACCATGCACATTTTCTTTACTTATTTGCACATATCTCTACACTGAGAACTATGCTACTATGCTCAGCAGTACCAGCTTCAGCATAAAGGCTTTCAGCATATAAATACCCTCTCCGACAGTACTAGTACTAGTACTGGCGTAGCCTTGCTTCCCCATCGCCTTGTTTCAACATCCATATTACCCAGGAATTCTAATTCTAACAGAATACATTTAGGAAGGCTCTTACCATGACCAATTTTCCATCCTTGATTTCTCTCACAAACTTGGTCTCCTTGCCATCCCACTTCTGAACGTGAACAAGCTTATCTCCATCCAAGCTCACAGTGGACTGCAACCAGATGGGACAAATAGGTCAGACTATTGCTCTCAACATCAAGTTAAATATAGTTACAATATATTATTGTACCTTCTATCAAGAAATAGAAGCAATACTTCCAAAGTTCCAATGTTTCCATACAACATCCAAAACATAATCCAGATCATATTACTCTTACAAATAGCCTATATTTGTATTAAAGTAATTTTGGACCAAAATGTATGATGTTCATAATGTGGCTAAATGTAAACAAATTCAATGAAATTGGTCAAGTAACATGTTAGTCAATGCATTATTAAACGCTGGAAAAAATAAATGAAAACTTCGGACTGGGCTCTGTAACAGGCTCCTCAAACCCAGTGAAATATATAAGACCTTTTCTAACTGACAAAGCCTATATTCAAGTGCATATATCCCTTTTATTTTATTTTGTTCCATAAATCCCATACTGTAGCACTTACTTTACAGTTTCTGTCATCTGCAGTGGCTTCATCAAACTCCTCTCCCAGTTTGAAGGATATTTCAGTGTTCTTGAAAGTACTCTGGGTTTTTACGACCACATTGTCCCCCTCTTTTGCGATGATAACGGTTGGTTTGGTCACATTTCCGACCTGCCTTGTTGCAAAACCAACACCTGTGAAAGTAATTTAAAAAGGCAATGAGACGTGGGATCATGCAAAACGAATCACCTGACGCGAACTACTGTACATTATGTCATTGAACAAATCTACAGGTAATAACTAACTTTTCTTATTATTAGGTTATAATTGTAAAGTCATGAAAACTCACCAAGTGCTTTCATGTACTCATCGAAGTTGTCACTGTCGACCAGTTTCCAGGTGGCACAGAAGGCATCAACCATGATGAAGAGTTAGAGGACCGTGCAATAAGAGAACTGAGGTAAAGTTGATACGGATTGTGCTGGAGTCAATATGAGCTTTTTCACCTACACCTTCATTATTTGTCTGGGGCTTATTAATATGCCCGTAGGGGGCGGATACTTACTTCCCATTGGCTCAGGAGATTCTCTCTGTCTTCTGATTGGTGGTGAGAGCTTGTAAAGCTTTGACTTTACATAGCGTACACATGCCATGATTTGACGCACCTATTGCAGAATACACATATTATTTATCAACTGCTTGTGCATTGATTGCAGTTGCAGATCAGTCTTGTTGTGACTTAGAGTAAACATATGCATTCGCTACACTAACCACTGTCCTTGCTCTGCAAGACAGACGGTAAATGGAATGTGTCATATCTAGGGCTGAGAAACCACCCAACTGGAATCAGAGTTTGTTTGACAATTCTTTGTCATTAAGTGGATTAATCCACTCTAACAGTCCCATGGGCTTTCTGCATTGAGGACAGTTATTATGCACTCTGTGTGCATTCAAGTACCAATGTATTTGTTTCAGCCAAAGATAGTTCTTCATTTTCAGTATCCTAAATCTGAAGGAAAGTAAAAATCGAACATTTATGTCTTGGGTAGGCTATGGCTACAGTAATTATTCCATATGATCAGGTTTTGACTATTCTGATTCAATATATGATAAAAACGTTTGATATCCATGTATGAATACTATTAGGAGACGATCATCTTTTTAACTTGGCCCTCTAAAGATTTTCAACATAATGTTCAGTGCTTTATTTCCAAGAGCTTAGAAATTTGATACAGAGCTTTAGATTATTATGATTATTTTTTTGTTACATGTGTAGCCTAATAGAATGTAGATGTATTATTACAGTAACACGAATACTTCATATTTGAAGAAATATGTATCTTTGATGTATTGTTTTAATATCTATATTCAGTTAATAACTTGCTATATATTTCATGACAATAAAAAAGGGTGTTATAAAAAACAGAATGTATATTTCCCAGTGGAGTTTGTAAAAGATCCATTAATGTTGGTGTGAAATACATGTTTGGTGCCCTCCTCTGGCCAAATCAGTCCCCACCAGACACTATGGTACAGTATAAGGAGAGACATACATCTACAAAAACGAACAACATTTTTCAAGGCACTGTAGCCTTTCATTGGTGGCAAACAACATACAACAATATTCTGGTTCCATGGTTAAGAAAAGCTACAAAACAATGCCGTACATAAAGCATTATGTTTATTAGCTGCAGTGGACATTGAAATGCATCTTTAATGGGTGGCAAATATAATGTAAAACTTTATTTACAGACCGAAAATACATATATATTTGTTTTACTTCTAATAACTCAGTTGTTAACAATGTATATTTTAACAGTAAAAAACACACAAGGTAGAGGTTGCACTGTAGCACTCTAATCAACCACAATTTTAAGATACACATTTTACTTACATCACCAAATGGAATGTTTATACTTTTGTTGTGCAAAAAGAGACATTCCTGCAACTACATTTTGACATTCTTAGAAAAAATGCTTTCATTGGAACACCTCCGTATGCAACGTATGTACAAGTCCCTCTTGCTCAAATATGAAATGACATTTTTCAGAGTCATGCCCAACTGTCAGCCACTTCACCAGTTCACTGCATATGCTAACATGAACAGGACATAAGTGCAGGATCATTCTCTGTACATGTAATGAATTATGGGTAATCTTGAATGAATACCCCCTTAACTTATAAAGAAACAGCCTTTTCCTGTTTATAGAGCTCTCCCTTCCTCATCCAGCTCTTTAAGTTTCCATCGTAGGTGTCCTGATGTTGCATAGCACGGTGCATGACGATTACAGTTGTCTGGTCAATGGGGTTTGTTTGAGGAGAAGTGGGCCATGGTAGAGACAGTCTCTCTCTTGTTCTCCATCTTCTCTTGTAGTCAGTTAGCCAGAGACTACGGCCCCATTACGTCCCCTCGTCCTTCTCCTCACCCTCTATAGGGCTCTTCGGTGGGCTTCCAGAGGACGAGCCCTCTCCGCCTTCTCCTCCATCATCTGAGTAACACACAGAACAACATTCATCATTTCAGTCAGGAACATTTAATTGAAAATGCCTCAATGCCCATGTAGTTGAGAATGTCTGCATTCCATTCACAATCCAAACTGCAGTGTATACTTTCCCCTATTTTGTGTTGGTTTGTAAGACATGGAAGAGACAGTATCTTGCATTTACAAGATAAAGGGAATATGAGATTGTCAACCTCAGCACATAGCTGGCTGACACCTTGAATATCAACAGACACTTCCTTCCTATATTGTATAAGGGATTTATATTGCAAATTGCAGGCAACTGTGCTATATCTGGTTCATGCTCTCTATAACATTAGGATCTACAGTATATGCTGCTGGTTGGTTACATCTGCTTACATCAAGTCATAAATGGTCAATGTGAGTATTTTCATCAAAGCTGTTGTTTGACCATTTGACCCCTTGTGTGTGTTTGTGTTTGTGTTTCTGTGTGTGTTTTTGTTTCTCTGTGTGTGTGTGTTTGTGTGTGTTTGTCTGTCTGTGTGTGTGTGTTTGTGTGTTTGTCTGTGTGTGTGTGTTTGTGTTTCTCTGTGTGTGTGTGTTTGTCTGTCTGTGTGTGTGTGTGTTTGTGCATGCAGCGTGTGTGTAATCTTGTTATTGTACCCATACATTAATGCTCAATGGGCAAGTCGTTATAGTTGAAGGGTGTAACACTGCACTGCAGCCACGAAGTGAAAGGGAGAAAATGCTGAGCAAAGCTGTTGTCTGTCTGTGTGTCTGTGTGTCTGTGTGTGTGTGTGTGTGTGTGTGTGTGTGTGTGTGTGTATGTGTGTGTGCGTGCGTGTGCGTGTGCGTGTTTTGAAAAGCATAATCTTGTTATTGACCCATACATTAATGCTCAATGGACAAGTCGTTATAGTTGAAGGGTGTAACACTGCAGTGCAGCCACGAAGTGAAAGGGAGAAATGCTGAGCAATGCTGTTGTCTGTCTGTGTGTCTGTGTGTGTGTGTGTGTGTGTGTGTGTGTGTGTGTGTGTGTGTGTGTGTGTGTGTGTGTGTGTGTGTGTGTGTGTGTGTGTGTGTGTGTGTGTGTGTGTGTGTGTGTGTGCGTGCGTGTGTGCGTGTGCGTGTTTTGAAAAGCATCATCTTGTTATTGACCCATACATTAATGCTCAATGGACAAGTCGTTATAGTTGAAGGTTGTAACACTGCAGTGCAGCCACGAAGTGAAAGGGAGCAATGCTGAGTAAAAAAGTTATACATCAACAGAGGCCTCCAACTAACAATGACTTCCCCTCCTCCCTATGAAGCAATATGTGTATCGGCTTTAGTATATAGCCAAGACAGCAGCTTCTCTTCCTGGAGTCCAAACTTCCTGGCCTTTCCCTCACTGATAGATAGTTAGCCCTTACCAAACTACCCTCACAGCCTTTGAGCTGTTACCAAAAGAGAAAGATGGCTGTTCCCTTCATTTGTTTCCATTTAAACAGTTAAAGCTGTGGTTCATTTTCCATACTGTTAACGTCCAGATGCCCTTTCCACTAAACCCTGCTTGATTAAAGAAAAACTGTCTGTCCACACAGACACTTGATAATGGTGATGGGTACTGGGATGGCAGGGCCTCACAAAAGCACTCAACCATCTGAGTAAAGGGTTTCTTTAATGACAGAGTGCTTTATTAAGTGTTGCTCCACCACGCTTTTTCCATAATGGCTAGATTCGGATATTGTATTGTTATGGAAAATTGCATGACTATGGTAATAAAATAAAAAACAGACAGAGTACCATCTTTAATATTCACAAAATACTGTTTCTGAAATGAAATGTTGAGATGAAAATACCTTCAATTGTACAATTCATCTTAATCCATAACAGAGTGAAAGCATGCAATCATGCACTGTAGGCCTATGTAAATTATTGTAAATATCGCAGAAAATTTGCAATGAAGTACTGTATGTAATTGATAGTACATTTCACTACCTACCTACAACAGAGAGCTCTGCTAGTTTGTCTGACAGGTCAGCAGGCCCTGCCCCAGCGATATCAGGTACAGCGTTCCTCCGGCCAGTCCTCCCCGTGGCTACAAAGTCAGTGACAACAGGCTCCACATCAGTCATCGCTGGGCCCTGTCCTCATAACATATTCTGGAACACAACAACACAGTGTAATTTATGTCTAAACATATTGTACATGGTTGATAACTGTGTCATATTTAAGCAATAAGGCCCGAGGAGATGTGGTATATGGCCAATATACCACGGCTAAGGGCTGTTCTTAGGCACGACGCAAACCCTCAACGTGCCTTATTGCTATTATATACTGGTTACCAACGTAATTAGAGCAGTAAAAATAAATGTTTTGTCATACCCATGGTATACTATACCACGGCTTTCACTCTCTCTCCGTCAGATATTACGACCCAACAGAATATATCTGTGCACATTACAGAGGTAATCAATGTATTGTGTATGCTGCAAGACATACATGTACAGTACGTATAATAATAAGCAGTAATAGGTCTATTTTATTAATGATAATGATCAGAACAAATCAGTGCATCATTTTTTGTCTGAGAAAGTGTCATGCTTTTAACTAAATCTATCTGGTATGGTATGGTTTGGTTTATTAGGATCCTCATTAGCTACTGCACATGCAGCAGCTAGTCTTCCTGGGGTCCACATAAAACGTACAAATACATGACAAAGTACAGAACAGTAATAGACAAGAACAACACAAGATATTACATTAAATTCCAAAAAATTAAATTCAATAAGAGTTATCTGAATGACACCAAGACAACAAAAATATTATTTACACAATATGAATATATACATATTCTTATTGTTATATACAGTACAGTAAAAATAGATATTTAATAATATAATATAATAATATGTTTTTTTAATCCGTTTTTTAAAGCTAAACTTGCTTTTATCCTGAGTATCCTCTGGTGGCAGAGCATTCCACGATGACATGGATCTATACATAACTGAGCGATGCATTAAATCAGTTTTTGGTTTGGGTACCGTGAAGAAACCCATAGTGGCGT